AGCATCCAGACATAGTTAAACCCTGACTCTTATACACATCTAGATGTGTATAAGAGACAGGTCTTATACAGGGTGACATACAAATTTTAGTTAAAATCATGTCTTTTGTGCGTATTGTCTGTAACACAAATTTACAACTGCAATGAAGCTACTAAAATGTTAGTATGAATGAATGCATTTTAATGAATGAATTTCAAATACGGAGAAATAAGATTTTGATGAACATTTAAAATCTCTGCTATTTATGTAAGATTAGCCCTAAATTTGACTTCATTTTTAGCCATCTAGATGCAGTATCAAGACTATAATGAGCAGCAAAAAGTATGAATTCCAACGGTGAAAAGGCGGTTGTCAAATACGCCAAACATACAAAAATCGTCCAAAAATCTTCTCAAACTTGAGGGTCTTCCTATGTGGTTTACCTTATATGCGAGTAGCTAGTTATCAATTGAAGGATTTTTATTAATTTACCTGTTTGTATCATGCATATTTGATAACTTTCATTTTTAAATGTTCTATATTAATTAGATTTTAAGGAGTTGTTTCAGTTCCGACGGTATATTTTTAATACGCAATAATTAAAAATAAAAATTTGATCATGCACTCCATCAGCTGTTAGCAAAAGGCCCTCCTTGGTGAGAGTTGGCTTGTTCAGATGTCTTGAGCATTTGTATTATACATGCACAGGAAAAGTCATCCCTGATGATGACAAGCTCACGCACATAAATTTTACTTGTCTCAATTATTGGTGGAGTGGACCTTTGACTAGAAAAAAAAATACCAAAGGGCTCAACTTTTGGTGAAAGAAAATTTGCCGAAACTTTTCTCACAACCAAAACCAACTTTACTCCCTATCCTGAATGAGGCTTTGTTATAGTTGATAAATTTTCCCAAATGAAAAAAACACTTAAAGTCAAACAAATAAAATCTTGTACAGTAGTTCCTGTCTCTTATACACATCTGAGGAGGCCTATGTGAAGAGAGGCCTTTTGGGGTTGAGGGAGGAGTTTGAACTTTTCAATGAACCAAACATGAATGTAGGCCTACTGTGTTTTGTTAACCACTGGCATGCACAATTGTATCAAATGTTGAACAAATTATTGACTCAGGAGTCACTTGCCTTGTGACTAGAAAAGCTGGATCTAAAACAATATCAGGACCAACACGAATACTGTCTCTTATACACATCTAGATGTGTATAAGAGACAGACAATATACAAATGAACATAACATGCTAGATTAGCCCAACAAGCAATATCACTTTTTCAATTGAGAATTTTAAAAAAGTACTTTAGTGTGTTTAGCTATCCTCAAATGGTGTTGAACTTAATTTTACTCAAAATTCCACAACAAATGATACCAACATTTTTGTTTAATTAGTTTGATTTTGACTCTGCAAATTTGAGCAAAGAAAGTGTTACACTAGGCAACCATTGCCAACTATTTATTTATTTTTATTTATTTTATTTCAACAATCTTTAATGAGGGTGGTCCATCCAGCCAAAGCTGATCATTAGGGACCCTTAATATGGTGATATAGGACAGTTGACAGATTCAGAACATTATTCCGGATACCTTGATTCGGTCAGTTGCCTAGGTTTTCTTTCCTCCAGTTTCTTCTCTTCGTAATGTACTTTGTTTGGTCTTAATTACATAATGTAGGCATCACATATCCTCATAACATCATAGTATCTAATTTACTTTTGTTTGCACTCATTTTTTTCAGTACTTGGTTGACAGACATTTCTCAGCAAATCAACAAATCAAAAAGGACACAACATCAGAGGTATATGAAAAGTATCGTGACTGCAAGAGCCTGTAAGCCATCCTTTAATTACCCAAACAAAAAGTAAAACTGTTAAAGTCTACAAGAGAAAAGCTGTCTTCACAAACTTAATGTCTGAAATCTTATCATCCATTGAGTTCACCTTAGTTTTTGGTTATGCTGCCCTCTACCATCAGGCTGGCAGAGGGCAGTACACTATTTTAGACCATGGAATGTACTCTATACTGCCATGTTTAGATAAGACCCTTGATTTTCCTTTATTTCATTTGCAATGAATTTTGTTAATAATACAATGGACTGATTTCCTTTTAAGTTCCGGTGTGAATAGAAAATGTTGATAGTAGAGAAGACGGTATACAATTTAATGACAGGTCATTGCATCTCATGACATCATATCAAAGTCATCCATCTGTAAATGAAAATTACATGTAACATTAAAAAAAGATAATGTAAATATATAAAATGAATCTTTAAATAAAGTAGGTGATTAAGTAGAAACCAGAAAACATTAAATTGAATGACAAGTAGGACTAGTTTCTGTTTTGATTTCCGTTGTTTTGAGATGACACTATTGTGTAACATTTAATAGTAATTCCGGTAATGAATTGTCTAGCATAAAGTCCCTCCAGCGTACTGTAGGTGGTAAGAATAATTACAACAATTTCATGAACTTATCGCATGTTTGTTGTTAGTTGTGTTAGTTGTGGCGACAATATTATTAATTGTTTAGTTACTTTCCACAGTGCTACTGTATTGCATTTGGTTTGGAATATAAAATAATAAATAACAGGGGGGGGGGGGCAGATCCAGCCATTTTGGATTAAACCAACCCTGCTGAAGGCTTGCAATTTACAAGCTTCATGGTGGGGTCCAGGGGTAGACCCTGGTTGGAGAACTCTAGCATTTCACATATATTTCAGAGAGGAGTACTAAATTATGCAAGCTCTGAAAGATCACAGTAGCCATGGCTCCAATGCCCAACTTTAAATATAGCACTATGTTGAAGCCTGTCTCTTATACACATCTTGAAGGCTCGGTAGTTAAGTGATAGATGGTAGTAGCAGGAGGGCCATTTTTGAGGGGGTGGTTCAGGTCTGTGCCTTCTGAGAGCTCACAGGCATTATGCTGGTTTCCATTCAGAATATTTAGTAGAGTCTGTAATATCTTAATGCATCACAACTTGGTTAATCAATAATGTATTTAACCAACAAATCAGTCAATAAATTAAAGTCAGATGGCAATGTCATGCACTGTACTTTACATCATACAATATTCTACTGTATATAGTACTGTACTGTACATTTCAGGACTCTTGAAGTATTTACAAACATAGGCATCTCCCTTTTGTTGTTAAAATGAATGAATCATTTACTGTAGGTACACAGTGTTTGACTTGTTGAGCATGCAATCATTTGATTTCTCCACCTGGTCTGCCTTTGGCAATTGCTTGATGTTGTCATGTGTCTGTATTCAATTCTTTCTTTTTGACTTGTGTACAAATGTGCTGTCTTTTATAGTTTGTGATGTCATTTTTAAGAGCGATTGGTAATGTTGTTCTGGAGTATAAAATTATCTATAGCAGCTCAAAAAACTGTTTAGAGAATTTGTCAAATCTTTAAAATGGATTTCTGTTCTTTTTAGGATAATTATTGTTCTATTATTTCTCTCTGTTGCCTTGTGTATGTTTTTAAAATTGTGTTATCTCCATGTGTCCAAGGTCTGCAGTTACACTGTATGAAAGAATTGGTTTTACAGTACAACTAAGTGTAGTCTCAATACTTGTATACCATTCATGAATAAAATTCCTGTGGCCAGTTTGGTTTATCTATTTGTATCCACATTGCTGTCAACTTATTATTGTTACATAATGTCCAGTATCTCCTAAAAGAGAATACTTTTTCAGTCATCCTCAATACTGTTTTCACTCTCACATTAAGATATTGTCGAAGTTTGAAAGGTGTGTTTCTACGGTATGTCATCTCTCTCATTTACATTTACATACATCTATGTAAACTGATTCTGTTCATATCTGATGATTTACCTTAGGCGTAATTCCAGGCATGTTGTATTATAAATAGTACAGTACACCTTAGGGGAGTTCTGTGCAAAGCACTGTTTCTCAGATGGTGGCTAATTGCTTTGCTTTACAAGTGTAGCAGCATCATCATTAAATAGAAGCACACATTGTAGACTAATGTGCAATACTGACAGACACAAATTATTCAAGAAAAACATAATTTCTGTTACCAAGTTTACAACAAATTTATTTTCCATAATCTGAACCAACATAAGTCTTGCTATTGTTTCTTTCTTATTGTATTGAGGGACCGCTATGGAGAGCAAACCGCTATGGAGAGCAGAGCTTGTATTGATTCAGATATATTAGTTTTCAATTAATAAGCAAATGCTGTTAATGAACTATTATATTTGGAAGCAACTATCACAAAGTTTATTTTTCTTTAGTGACAATACAACAACCAACACAAGTAAACAAACAGATGAAAACTTTGATCAATTGTTGCAGAAAAAGAAAAATGAGGGCAGCAGACTAATTACCAGTGTTATTAGAGATTTACATCAATTTAAGTAAGACCATCTCATTTTTTAAACACTGTAAAAAATAAAATCAGTTATGGCAGTGACATATTTTGTTTGAAAATTACATTAATTTTATTTGGTAGTTGTACAATATACAAATGAACATAACATGCTAGATTAGCCCAACAAGCAATATCACTTTTTCAATTGAGAATTTTAAAAAAGTACTTTAGTGTGTTTAGCTATCCTCAAATGGTGTTGAACTTAATTTTACTCAAAATTCCACAACAAATGATACCAACATTTTTGTTTAATTAGTTTGATTTTGACTCTGCAAATTTGAGCAAAGAAAGTGTTACACTAGGCAACCATTGCCAACTATTTATTTATTTTTATTTATTTTATTTCAACAATCTTTAATGAGGGTGGTCCATCCAGCCAAAGCTGATCATTAGGGACCCTTAATATGGTGATATAGGACAGTTGACAGATTCAGAACATTATTCCGGATACCTTGATTCGGTCAGTTGCCTAGGTTTTCTTTCCTCCAGTTTCTTCTCTTCGTAATGTACTTTGTTTGGTCTTAATTACATAATGTAGGCATCACATATCCTCATAACATCATAGTATCTAATTTACTTTTGTTTGCACTCATTTTTTTCAGTACTTGGTTGACAGACATTTCTCAGCAAATCAACAAATCAAAAAGGACACAACATCAGAGGTATATGAAAAGTATCGTGACTGCAAGAGCCTGTAAGCCATCCTTTAATTACCCAAACAAAAAGTAAAACTGTTAAAGTCTACAAGAGAAAAGCTGTCTTCACAAACTTAATGTCTGAAATCTTATCATCCATTGAGTTCACCTTAGTTTTTGGTTATGCTGCCCTCTACCATCAGGCTGGCAGAGGGCAGTACACTATTTTAGACCATGGAATGTACTCTATACTGCCATGTTTAGATAAGACCCTTGATTTTCCTTTATTTCATTTGCAATGAATTTTGTTAATAATACAATGGACTGATTTCCTTTTAAGTTCCGGTGTGAATAGAAAATGTTGATAGTAGAGAAGACGGTATACAATTTAATGACAGGTCATTGCATCTCATGACATCATATCAAAGTCATCCATCTGTAAATGAAAATTACATGTAACATTAAAAAAAGATAATGTAAATATATAAAATGAATCTTTAAATAAAGTAGGTGATTAAGTAGAAACCAGAAAACATTAAATTGAATGACAAGTAGGACTAGTTTCTGTTTTGATTTCCGTTGTTTTGAGATGACACTATTGTGTAACATTTAATAGTAATTCCGGTAATGAATTGTCTAGCATAAAGTCCCTCCAGCGTACTGTAGGTGGTAAGAATAATTACAACAATTTCATGAACTTATCGCATGTTTGTTGTTAGTTGTGTTAGTTGTGGCGACAATATTATTAATTGTTTAGTTACTTTCCACAGTGCTACTGTATTGCATTTGGTTTGGAATATAAAATAATAAATAACAGGGGGGGGGGGGGCAGATCCAGCCATTTTGGATTAAACCAACCCTGCTGAAGGCTTGCAATTTACAAGCTTCATGGTGGGGTCCAGGGGTAGACCCTGGTTGGAGAACTCTAGCATTTCACATATATTTCAAAGAGGAGTACTAAATTATGCAAGCTCTGAAAGATCACAGTAGCCATGGCTCCAATGCCCAACTTTAAATATAGCACTATGTTGAAGCTTTGTCTCAATTATCAGATTCCACCACTATAGGAAGTTAAAATACATATCCATTTTAGCACTTCTCATTCAGTTTCACTAGCACTTTGGGTTAGTGTTGTTTAAGCTGGAGTTAGATGGGATAGATGATGTGTTATATTTAGTCATCTCCCGAAATGGTATTGTATTCCATTTTGCTGTTAAGGAATTTAAAAATAAGGAATGATCTGTCTTAGTATTAAATTCCATCAGTGAAGGCGGTTAACATTAATAATATCACCTCCATAAATTCACAGGCATGCTTGGTTTCTAAGCACTAAAGTGTTTTGACTTTATATGCATAGTCCGTGCACAGTGGTGCAGTAAGCCTGACCTCATCAGGGACTAGCCTGAGGGCTTGGCAGTCAGTCTCCTGCGCTACAATTCCTGTGGGAACATATTATACACTACAGTTTTGTTCATATGTGAACAGTGCTGATTGATCCTTAATCTTCAAATTATTTCCTTGTAGTATCTGGCTTAAAAGAAGATGAAAAATGAGAATAACACAAATGAACTTACTTCTTCATTGTACGTCATCACATGTTTCTTAATTTTCGATGTGTCTGTCCATGTTACAAAATCCTCCATATTCCTAAAATAGAAGTAAACATAAAATGTTCAATAATTCACTTAAAACTGTAGTGTAGATATGCTTGTTGTACAATAATATAATTATACTTCGACATGCACTTTCATTGTTTGCAATTTAAAATTTTAAAAATATTATTTACTTGGTTGAATCTTTCTGCCAGATGTAAGGACTAAGAATCTGTATTTTTAAATAAATGTTTACGTTAAATTTCAGTAAATTTTAATGTACATTATGTATAGTCGTTTGTGTTGACTGAAATTTAACAGACTTAGGCCTACCTGATATTGAATGTACTTATTTTTGTATGTAAATTTGAATCTGATCACATGGAGCCATTCACATACCAACATGAAGGATTTTGGAAAGAGAGGAGGCCTATGTGAAGAGAGGCCTTTTGGGGTTGAGGGAGGAGTTTGAACTTTTCAATGAACCAAACATGAATGTAGGCCTGCTGTGTTTTGTTAACCACTGGCATGCACAATTGTATCAAATGTTGAACAAATTATTGACTCAGGAGTCACTTGCCTTGTGACTAGAAAAGCTGGATCTAAAACAATATCAGGACCAACACGAATATCTTTCGAAATATTAAGAAAAATAATGAACGAAAATAATAAATAATGAATGTAAATGATAATGAATTACTAGTCATGTTACTATATAAGAACAACATGATATAACTCAGTATATTGTCTCAGTTCTTAATAAAACAAAAACAATATGAATTTCACTAAATTACATAGTAACAGATCAAAATTTATGCTACACAAAATGTAAATACTGAAGTTCCTATAAAAGATATAAAATGATTGTAAGATAATATTAATACTGATGATAGGCTACACTAATCTGACAAACAAAATACAAATACAAATACTAATACAAAATACAAATACTAATCTGACAAACAAAATACAAATACTAATCTGACAAACAAAATACAAACTTGACAAACTTCCTAATGTTTAAGCCTTGTCCAGACAATCATGTGACATGCCTAAATATGGTCTGGATAACATCACATCATGACCATATATGGGCACACAACAGTTTTTGTTAAAAGAAAAACTGAGTGTGGACAGAGATTTATGGTTATCATACAATCAAATAGTGAAGAATATGGTGATAAACTTATAGATATACTGTATATTTCTATTATTATTATTATTTTGTACGAATAAGCTTCAAGATTTTGATTCAAATTGTCGATTGAATAAATACATAAATAATAATGTTCCCATATTTTGTGCATACCATATATACTCGCATACAAGACAAGGCTAAAAATAGCAAATACGATCGAAATAACAGGGGGTCGTCTTATACAGGCGACATACAAATTTTAGTTAAAATCATGTTTGTCTTTTGTGCGTATTGTCTGTAACACAAATTTACAACTGCAATGAAGCTACTAAAATGTTAGTATGAATGAATGCATTTTAATGAATGAATTTCAAATACGGAGAAATAAGATTTTGATGAACATTTAAAATCTCTGCTATTTATGTAAGATTAGCCCTAAATTTGACTTCATTTTTAGCCAGCTAGATGCAGTATCAAGACTATAATGAGCAGCAAAAAGTATGAATTCCAACGGTGAAAAGGCGGTTGTCTAATACGCCAAACATACAAAAATCGTCCAAAAATCTTCTCAAACTTGAGGGTCTTCCTATGTGGTTTACCTTATATGCGAGTAGCTAGTTATCAATTGAAGGATTTTTATTAATTTACCTGTTTGTATCATGCATATTTGATAACTTTCATTTTTAAATGTTCTATATTAATTAGATTTTAAGGAGTTGTTTCAGTTCCGACGGTATATTTTTAATACGCAATAATTAAAAATAAAAATTTGATCATGCACTCCATCAGCTGTTAGCAAAAGGCCCTCCTTGGTGAGAGTTGGCTTGTTCAGATGTCTTGAGCATTTGTATTATACATGCACAGGAAAAGTCATCCCTGATGATGACAAGCTCACGCACATAAATTTTACTTGTCTCCATTATTGGTGGAGTGGACCTTTGACTAGAAAAAAATACCAAAGGGCTCAACTTTTGGTGAAAGAAAATTTGCTGAAACTTTTCTCACAACCAAAACCAACTTTACTCCCTATCCTGAATGAGGCTTTGTTATAGTTGATAAATATTCCCAAATGAAAAAAACACTTAAAGTCAAACAAATAAAATCTTGTACAGTAGTTCCACAATGAATTACAGTAGTAAAAGTCTCATATCTCCAGCACCTTCCGCAATGAATATCATCTCAAGGGTGCTTTTTAAAAAGGAAAAAAAAAATGATTAAGCCAGGAAATAAGCTATACTAAGTAAAAAAATAAAACCAACAAAATAATGTATTAAGCAACGGAAACAACACACAGTAATGTATGTCAATATATGTCATAATTACATATTTTCAGAACTTAAATAAAAAAACTTGCTTTTACATTTAATCATCTGATTTATTCAATTGTTTTTTTTGCGAAATTTGTTTTTTTGCAAAATTTTTGGTTTACAATAATCATTTTACATATTTAAAGTAATTTTTACTGTTGTGATTTTAATTAATTTGTAATTGAACCTAGACGACAAAAAAATCCAGTATCTGCATTATTGCCATTCAGACTAAATTTATTTATTTTGTTTTCTCTTATAATATTGGCCATATTTTTTCCATAGTAAGTCATAAAATATGTAGACTTACTACATTTATATTTTTCAGGACTGTTGATGGACTATGCTTTTTGAGGAACCGCTGTGTCCAATATTGAATTTAAAAAAAATCATAATAAACAAATTCTTGTTAGAGGATGTAGAAAAGCAAACCGACTGTTTTCATCTTATAAACTCAAGTAAAAAATAGGTCATAATAATGTTAATTATAAGGATACGACCCTGCTCTACAAACTGTACTGCCATACTGACTTCCTGCGCCATCTTAAGTTTCTTCATGATAACAGGGAGACGTCTTCTACAGAATGATGATGCAGATACATTATCGCATAAACCCAAGTTCTGTTTACTTGGTATTATACCCATTCTAAACCTGAAAAGAAAAAAATTATTTAATCATGAGTATATATTATATAAACTCCAGTATTATATGCCTATGGTAATTTAGTTTGCTTCCTATTTTGTCGAAAATAAAAAACCTTACTATGCTTTGCAGCAAAACATTTTGATGTTTTAGTGGTTTGATTACTGTCCCCAAAGAGGAAGTTATCAAACATGAATTCCTCAACCATTTACTTTCAAGGATCTTACATTAATCATAGAAATCATGAAAAATTTACGAATTGTAAATGTTTGAAATGGAATGTAATGTATTATAAATTTGCTGTAGCGCATATAAAACGAAGTCTCAATGTACTGTTTAGTGACGTAGAATTTTTAAAATCTGCTGTAACAAACTATAAGGTCATCTTAAATGATTCAAAAAGCACCTTTGCTCTTATCACATTTTTGGTGGCTTTGTGTAGTCATTGTTTGGTAGTGGTGCTCATATGAGAGCTACTGTACGCTAACTAAAAATCAAATGGGACATAGGCCTATCTGACTTCTCAACGTTAGTATTATATACGTGAGAATTTGGATATGAAATATAGTACAGATATCCTAATGATACCATACATCAAAGTATGTTAGGTAATCCACTTTAGCAATAATGCAATGAGTAGGGCTTAGCAAAAAAATGTTTGGTGAGTCCAGTGGCCGAGCGGTAAGGCAGAGGCGTTGCTTAGCTTCATCAGTGTTGGTTGCAGCCGCTCCTCACCCATGGTTCAGTTGATAGAACCAAGTCGTCTCGGATAAGTTAAAATTGAGGTCCAGTGTATGCATCTGGCTCATGTGCACTTTAAAGAACCCATAAGAGTAGGGGGTTACCCCGATGTTATGGTTCATTTCAGCCCATCATGGAATGATGTGAATATGTAGCTACTATGAAGCGCCTCTTTACGACTGCTAGGTAGTCACAGACCACGCCCATACGCAATTCATTACAACGACGCTGCAAGATATGGGTTATTCTACCTTCACGTGATATTAAATACAGTACAGATATTCTATTATAAAACCATACATCAACGTATGTTATTGTTAGGTAATTTATTTTTACTTTTCTTAACAAAATGGGTTCTCACTTTATGACCAACGTTCTTGGAATTAACTTTTTGTTTTATCATGTACGGCCTAAATATTCATCAAACAATATAAATACCAAGCAAAAATATACTGCACATATTGTAAACAAGTAAAAACCCATGATTAAAATCGACAACTGCTTTATAAATTCACTCATTAAAATATGAACAAGGACAAATACCGGTAGGTTACACACATATTTAATAATAAAAAAGATCATAATTTTTCCTGTTTTGATACAGTAGTAAAATTGACATAGCAGGTGTGTTGGCTAAATCAATCACACTGGCGGAGCTACCTTTGCTATTATTGACACAGCACTGCCAGTGTTATACTATAGCATCCAGCAATAGTTATACCAATGCCCTATACATTCATAATGTAATGAAATTATTTCCAAGGTTCTTAAATGAACACAGGGGAAACTTTCCCACAATAATATTCTCACTAAAACAACTGACAATTAATAGGCGTGGGTATAATATCAATAACTATCAAAATGAAAAAAATATTTTTAGGCTAATCCTCGTGATCAAATTATAGAATTATCAATTCCGCCTCATATTTATCATCATATCCTGTTCTGTCTCATTTTTAAGAAGTCCCTTAACATTTTTGCAACATAATTTTTGCCTCTTGTTTAGATATTTAGCAATCTTGCTCTCACATGATTTATTTATTAAATTGTAGGATAAGCTAGCTAGATACTATTTTCTATAAAGCTTCTGCGAGTACTGTTCCAGCAAAGCCCCTAACTCTTGGGGCTCCAGAGTGTGGTGGAGAACAGAGCAGTGAAAAACCATCCTTCTCCTTTTTATGCCGTTTGGCTCATGTAAAGTACATAAATGCAACTTTCTTTTATTATGCACTATACAAAATTTACATTATTATTATTATTATTATTATTATTATTGTCAAAATTGCAATTTTTCTTATTGTACTGCAATTGATAATAGGCCCCTTCCCCCTCCCCAACTACGACCTGCCAGTTTTGGAAGAATCATGGATCTGCCCAATAATAATAATAAACTGGATATACACTATCCATTTTCAACTCTAGATTTATAAAGTTCTGATCCCTCAATGTTCTTGTTATCAATAATGAATGTCTATACGCCTTCCTGGGTTTTCATTCCTTCAGATTTTTTATTATTACAGATTATAAAACAGTTTTGGCAAGGAAATCATGACAATTATAATCACCAAGCTTCAGGAAACTTTCATTGAAGTTAACAATTTGTCTACACCGGACTTTACTTTTGATTTGATCAAATTATGATCTCAGGAACCCTGAGTAATAAAAGATGCTTAACTCAATATGTTAGAAATACAGGTATAGCAGTGACACATCCATGATTTGGAAAGTGAAGGGCATGATGGGTGGAGTCTATAATGACATGTTACACAATTATTTCCTTCATAATTTTTTTTGCCATTTAACGTCCCTTTCCCACCAGAATTATAGTATCTACGTTATTCCTTCAATTTTGTATGACCTCAGCAACCCAGGGTAGTAATAAAAGATGTTTACTCTAGTTACAATACAGGTATGAATCAGTAAAATACAGTATTTATCCATGATTTTGAAAATACAGTATATGATGGGTGAGGTTTAATGACAGATTAATTTCAATTGTGGGTTTTTTGCAAAGATGTTATTGTTTCTTTCCCATCAGAATTATAGTATAGACTGTACAGCTAATGGATTTTGCATCAAAACTTTTGAAAAGTCACCCAAACTGAATTGTTCTTGATCCATGTTTCTTAAAAGTAGATTAATGATTGAATTGTTTTTTAATGAATAATTCTAGGGTTATGTTCAGGGGTTTTTATCAAGATTTTTACAAAGGGAGGTGGGGGGGGGGGAGATGTTCTGATGCGGTAATCTATGACATCAATAGCAGGCCATTAGAATGGGCATTGACCACTAACACAGGGTGATAAAAATATTCCCCCAATCCACCCCATCTCCTTGATTAGCTGCTGCAAGTTATGGGCCTTGTGAAAACATGTATGAACTTGTCTAATCCAAGACATGGTATTTCAATTCAAATTATTTGTTATGAATGGTTTTGTTATTTTATACACTGTTATTGTTAAACTGCCCTTGCACCACTTAACATAAAATCTTTCTACATTTGTAAAATTCTCTACACAAATTAGTGAGTGAGATATAAGCTGAGATAAAATCAGATTTGATCTGCACGACATGATTATAATACATTTATACTTATAGTATCAACTATTGAACACAAGAAAAAAATTAAAAATATGCTGAGCCATGAACAGGATAAAGGGTGAAATCTTACCAAAGATTACTTCAAATTCAAGTAGAAAATCTATAAATTTTATATTAATTTGAGAACGTTCATAACCTCTTAATTGTGCTCTTCAAACCTTAGAATTATTCTTATTTTAACAACATCCTTATCTCAGCAACAAAGAAGCGCCACAGATCATCCGTTGACCACAAACACTTCAAATGAACTTGGGATTATCACAAATATCTTTTTTTTTAAATGACAAAAACCCAAATTAGACACTAGTGTATTGTGTAGATGTTGGAGAATCATGTGATTTGCTGTTAAATAGTTAAATTATTCCATATGTTTTTAAGACCATCAGTCCATGCTTCCTTTGCTGTTACTTTGTACTTAACAATTCCATTAATGACTGACTAAAATTAGTTTCTATTATTTTTACAGGTAAAACTAAACATACATTTTTCTCTGACCAATTTTACTTGCATATTTTTGGCACTACATCTTGATTATCTGCAGGACCGCCCAGAGCAACCATTGTCCCTGGGGTAGCACATTGTGGGGACCCCAATGGTGAGGATCTTGGAACCACCTACATCCATGTACAGTAGGTGGCCCGATGAAGTTAAGTGTCAGGCTCATATGGGCCTTGGGAGAAAATCCCCCGAAGCCATGGTCTTTTAATAATTAAATGTTTATTTTTATTTATTTAATATTTTAAACTGAGACGAATTAAGCTATAAAAATTAAATATATTAGGTAGTGGAGCTATTTTAGTCATAAGACAAAATCCTGGTGACAGAATTTGAAGCCAGGTCCCTGGGATTGGATGGCGAGCATCGTAATCATTGAAGAAGGTCCACTACTTAATATTCAATACCAGACGGAAGAAAGTGTTAATAGTAAGGAAGGAAATGTTATATATACTTATAACACACATCTTGAATCTTGTGTCCACCTGCAATCCATAAAGACAAAAGAATCCTGTATAATTTTTATAAATGTATGATCATTTTTATGAGCAGGCCTAAAAGGAAGGGGTTGCAGATAACAAGGAGTACTTCCAAACATGCCTTCTATTTCGTGGGATTTCTCAAGCAGGCATAAATGAAATATGTTTTGAATCACCACAAAAATGAACTGTAAGCATAATCTGTCTACACTAACAAGATTAATATAACAACAATCTGCTCTTTGCCCGAATAGGCATGATATTCCCATATCAGAAAATCACAGATATTTGTTAGAATATTTGATAGTGTGCAATAGAATTGTCATAGAATGCTCCAAATGCCCAAGAAGTCCTCTTATTGGTCCTGATGATAAGTACATTTTTGGCATCTGGTTCAGAAAATTTATTTATAACTAAGGAAACTTTTCCTTTAATTACAGCTCCATACTTTAACATTCTAGCAGCTTTCAATTGATAAATTGCAACAAAAATGATATTGACAAATATGGGCAACATTTAATAATTGACTACAATAATTCACTAATTTGTATTGACTAGGACTGAATACACAAAAACAAAAAACTAATAACTTTTCAGACCTTAAATTAACTTTGGAATTTAGTTTAAGAGGTTATTACAATTAAAACAAACCGGCAACTTAAAAAAATAGTTTTAAAAAAAACAAACTAGGCT